CCGGCGTCTGGGGGGAAACACGTATGCTGACGTCAGAGATTAGACGGGGCAACCTTGCTGTCGTCACCGGCATGGTACAGTGCTGCAGTGTTAAGCAGACAGACTTTTTCAGTTAATAAATAAGTTTTGGCCCGTGGTTTGTAGTTTTCAAACATTTGCTCGGTGCCCAGACAGCAAAAACCTCCCTTATGTTCTGTGGGATTTAATTTTATGAATTGGTAGGATCTAATTTCCAAACTGGCGGCTTAGGTTTCAGTTGTGAAATTAATGAGATACGAAGGACATTTGTGAATTAAGTTGTCTGGTTTTTGTATACATTGAATTACAAATATAGATATTTTTTCATGTTAATGCTTCTGAAAGAAAAAGAAATTAACCAGAGAGCTCCACTTTGGCACGAGTGCCAAAGACATCACTGTAAGCATGCTTGAATATGCAGCATGGCTGGCTGGCTGGAGAGTAAAACTTAAAACAAAATCATGTTTTCAGATGCCTTTTAGGATGTCTATGGTTGTAGGTGTGCCCTTTCTTTAAATCTGACTGCACAAAGGCTTGTTTATAATAAAACGGTGAAACACATCTAGAGAGGCAGTACATACAATTCTATACATGGCTGCTGAACACGGTACATAAAATAAGATGTCATTTGCAAATATGGGAAACTTGTGTATTAAAGAATCATTTCAAAGTGAATATCAAATTTACAGTGTAGGAGAGAACTTTGGGTTTTGGAGCTGGGGTGCTGAGTACTGATGAGAATGAAACATCTCAGTGTATTTATTTTCAATGAAACAATGTTACTATCAAATTATATATAGTTTTACAGAGACAGTCTAATGTTACTGTATTTTTGCTATCATAGCTTACATGTTAACAGAAAGTCTGCAAAGAAAAGGTTTGGGTTTTTTCTTTGTTTTCTTTTCTAAAGAATGGTTCGGTGCTTAAAGCACAAGTTTTGACATTTTAAAATACAAGGTGTAATTGTGCTTTGCCACATTGTCTGCATGGCTTTTGGCAAATTATTTAACTTGTGAGGTCATTTATTTTCCTGTAGAATTAACATTTTCTGTGTCAAGCCACATGCTTGACCAAAAGGTGAATGAATAGTTAACATTTTATGTTTTAAAACAACAGTGCTGACACTTTTGAAAGTAGGAAGAATTGAGACAACTAGACAGATTACAAGGGTGGAAGAGTTGTCTGCATTTTTTGAGGGGGTGTTTTTGTTTGAGGTTTTTAGATCGTGGTTTTATGGTCAAAGACAGTTGTGTCAACCCATGTTTTGAAGGCTAAGAGTTTTGATTTTAGGGGGCCATTTTTAGAGCACATGTATCTTTTCAGATGGGTGAGGAAGAGTGGTCAGTTTGGAGCCTGTCACCTCTTTACAGTGTGTGTGTGTCTCTCTCTCTAATCCAATTTGGAAAACGTGTTTGAATTCAAGTATAAACATAAGTGAGAACTCTTTGTCTCAATCTGCTTTCAGGATGAGCTTTTTATTTTACCTTCTGGGGGCAGTTATTCAGAGTTCTTTTTTCTTTCTTTTACGCACCTAGTAGTTTTTCTTAGAGGGTAGTGATAAAGTACATTAGTGTACTTTAAAACAAATTATTGTATCTGTGGTGGGTTGACCCTGGCTGGATGCCAGGTGCCCACCAAGCTGCTCTATTACTCCCCCTCCTCAACTGGACAGGTAGAGAAAAGTACAACAAAAGGCTCATGGGTCGAGATAAGGTAAGGGAGATCACTCACTGATTACTGTCACAAGCAAAACAGACTCGGCTCGAGGAAATTAATTTAACTTATTGCCAATTAAAAATCAGAGTAGAGTAATAAGAAGTAAAACCAAATCTTAAAACACCTTCCCCCCACGCCTCCCTTCTTCCCAGGCTCAACTTCACTCCCGATTTTCTCTGCCTCCTCCCCCCGAGCGGCACAGCGGGACAGGGAATGGGGGTTGCGGTCAGTTCATCACATGTTGTCTCTGCTGATCCTTCCTCCTCGCTCTCTTCCCCTGCTCCAGCATGGGGTCCCACCCACAGGAGACAGTCCTCCACAAACTTCTCCAATGTGAGTCCTTCCCACAGGCTGCAGTTCTTCACGAACTGCTCCAGCATGGGCTTCCCACGGGGTCACAGCCTCCTTTGGGCACATCCACCTGCTTCAGCATGGGGTCCTCCACGGACTGCAGGTGGATATCTGCTCCACCATGGACCTTCACGGGCTGCGGGGGGACAGCCTGCCTCATCATGGTCTTCTCCACAGGCTGCAGGGGAATCTCTGCTCCGGCTCCTGAGGCACCTTCTCCCCTTCTTTTTTAACTGACCTTGGTGTCTGCAGAGTTGTTTCTCTCACATATTTCTCACTCCTCTCTCTCCCGGCTGCTGTTGCGCAGAAGTTTTCTCCCCTTCTTAAATACGTTGTCACAGAGACGCTACCACCATCGCTGATGGGCTCGGCCTTGGCCAGCAGAGGGTCCGTCTTGGAGCCGGCTGGCATTGGCTCTGTCGGGCATGGGGGAAGCTTCTAGCAGCTTCTCACAGAAGCCACCCCTGTAACCACCCCACTACCAAAACCTTGCCACGCAAACCCAGTACAGTATCCTCAGAACACAATATGCCAGCAACAATATGCATTCTGTTGGGAAATTCATGGAGGCTAAGAATAATCAGAAGGACTATGATGTGAACCTGAAAATGAAGTAGTCTTGGTGAAACAGAATAGAAGAAAATGTTTCAGCCATTTTTTAAAAAAAGAAGAAGATGGGAAACTAAAATGTGCAATTGAATTAATAGGAAATGACTATTTCAAAATGTATGAGGCAAAATTTGTTTTCACTAAAATTGACCTTGTCTTTTTGTGTTTTAGAATCAGGTGCTGTTTTCACATTTGGAAAAAGCAAATTTGCAGAAGATATTCCTAGCAAGTTCTGGTTCAAAAATGACAAGCCTGTACATATATCATGTGGAGATGAACATACTGCTATTGTTACAGGTCAGTATTGGAAATGGAGTATATGATAAAAGGTTATATATTTGGACAGCTTGGAAAGTTATGATTCTTATTTGAATCCTGAGGTAATATATCAAAAGGGGTTGTGGAGAGGAGAGGGTACTCTTCTGTGGGGGCTATTGGATGCCTTTGAAGTTAGTGTGAGGTCACTGAAGGTTTTCATGAGGCATGCCCAAGAACTGTCGTGAGTGAATCGATAATAACTGAACGTATCACACTGGATTTAAAGTAAGCATGACTTTGTTCAGCTTGAATGTTTCCTGTGAATCTGACAGTTATTTAGTAGACAATCTTAAATATAGAGGTTTCTATCATGGAAGTAAACAGTATCTGTTGAACACAGTCAACAAGTTCACTAGGAATCTGCCTGAAACAACAGATAAAATTGTATCTCTGAAATTTAGATTTGAATTACCGTTAACTGTCAACTGAAAATAACCCTTGAAAGGGCAACTCAAAAAACTTCAGAAAATCCTACTAAAATCAGAAATAAATTGCAAAAGCATTCAAAGAAGCTCAGATGCAATACAGTGAGCAGTATTTATGTTCATTTTCATTTTTTTGAGATAATAGAAGCAATACTCATTGAAGAACTTGTTCAATTTATTTTACGTGGAAGGGACTACTCTTTTGTTGATGAGCACGTGTGTCGATTGTATTGACAATCAACTGCTGATAGAAAATAAGACTTTGTTGTTATGAAGTTTATATGCATATTTTCAGGGCTTTTTTTATTGGAATGTATTTATTCCTCATCAATGCCCATTTGGGCATTGCTTATTAAATAATTTCTTGAGGGTTTCTTGCTATGTCCCCAAGCAAGGTTGAAGATGCTGGATTTTTAGAATGAACAATTCCAGGCATGATAAAAGAAGAGTGTAGATTTCACGGACTGCAGAACATCTTGAAGTGAAATTGTATGATGAATTTTTCAAGCCTAACTTCATAGAAGATGAATTATCTGTGAATAGTTTGTGTTTTGAACAAAACTTGACACTTTTTCTTGGATTGAACCAGTTTATTAAATTGCCTGTTGCATAAAATTAATCAGAATATAACCTGGGGCACTGTGAAATTTTCCTTTTGAAATTTTTTTTTTTATATATCCTTTTGTATGCCCACACCCAGTTTGAAATAACATGAGTACAATTCTTGGTTTAGACTAGTCAATTTAAATTGCCTCGAGTTCCCCCAGCATGTGCCTGTGCCAGCACTGTTACCCTAATCAGCAACAATCCTCTAATTCCCTTGTCACTGTAACAGTGGCCACTTAGATAAAGCTTTTGAAGAAGTCAACTTGCATAGGTTTGCATGCAGCACCGTTTCTCTACTATCTCCCCTTCTCCCTGTTATTTTAAGATATACAGCATGTTTCAGAAATGTCTCTGTAGCTGGCTTTTGCTGTTGTAGTGTGCAGATATGTCACCAGGGAAACTTCTACATAATCAGATCTTTATTTTCTCAAAGCTTTTGAGGAGAAGGAACTGTAGAAGCATGAGTACAGAATTTCTTTGGTACCAAAAGGTTTTCTGGGACATTGTAAAGTAGAGGCAAAAGTGAGGGTAAAATACTGATCAACAACAAGCAAAGGTAGAGAAACCGCAAGCGTTGTACAAAAAAGTGAAGAAGGGGAAACGGAAAATCTTTTTTCCTCATTTGTCCTTCACACCTGTGCATGCCCGTGTGCACCGCACATTTCTGCTGTTAGATGGAGTTGGATGATACAGTGGAATTACAGCCCTTGGTGAATGACACTGAACTGCAGTAACACCTGGAATAAAAGCTCCAGAAGTGCATGCCGATAATGAGTTTACTGAGAAGGGTACAGACCTTGTGGGAAACCAGGAGCTTCTTGAAATCCAGCTGAATGTGACCTGGAAGAGATAAAAGACAAACATCACTGAGAAAGGAAAAGTATCTCAAGCAGGTGTGTGTCAATGCATGTTTCATTTTATTTTCAGTCTTTATTTACAGGTCACAAAATTCCCCCCTCCTTTTTTTTTTCCCCACCCCCTGGAAGAGGTAGTGGGACCTATGTATGTAGGGGACAGTGGGAATATGAGGTAGATTCAAACCTGATAGAAGTATATCAGTTTTACACTAACATGTCTCAACAATCATAAGTAAAACAATCACCCAAACTGATACAAAACATGCCTTAAAGCTGGTTTGAGGCAGGAAAGACAGCTACATCTAGCACTGAATCTTGACTGAATGCAAACGAAGAAAATGTACAGGAACTAATATTTAGCATTCAAATAAAATACTAAGAAATTTTCAAATACTTCTTTAATCTAATCCAGCATCAGTATTCCCACATGACTTTTAGGAGGAAAAGTGTAAAGTAAATATAAAACACTCTGTTCTTTGGCTTTCCAGGTCAGGAGTTAGAGTCCAAAATTTTATTTACATACTGTGGCTGTATGTTGGAATAGAAAGGACCAGTGATAGTTACTTGCTGACTTTGAGTTGGCTTGCTGAGCTAGTCAGAGAAACGTTTCCTCCTCCAGTTTTGGAGTTGGGGATTGAAACTTGTGTTTCTTTATTCATTTGCTCTCTACCTTTAGCACAATCTTCATTAAAATACTCAAGCAGGAATTCTTTTAAGCAGTTGTCATCTTTAGTTCTTTAATGGAGTCATAAGCAGTATACCTTCCGGCATCACTTGTAATATATTTAATAACGTTTCTTGCCCCATTTCTATATTTTTTGGCCCAAGAATACTGACAGTCCACTCCCTGCATCTTTTATAACTGCAGGCTTTGGAAGGCAATTTATTCATCCTCTTGGGAGTTGGTGTGAAATAAGTGACATTATGCATATTTTTAAAAATCTCCTCCCAATACTTTTCCATTAATTTTCTTTTCTACAAAACACTTAAAAGTTAATAGCTGTCTTATTGTTTATTTGCCTTGATTAGAATATCCTAGGCAGCTTGCCCACATTTGATCAAAGAGACTGATCCTGTTCACAAGGGGGAAAATGACGATGACGGAAGACACGTTTTCTGAACTCGGCTCTGGAGAGAAGTGAAGCCCCCAGTGCAAGAGGGTAGAAGGAAAGAAAGAAGTTACCAAGTGTAAAAGGAGTGAAAAGAGGTGCATATGGAACCACAAGAAGATAGTATGCTCATAATTCTGAGTTTTGTAAGGCATTAAACATTCAACAATTTACACCAAAGGACCTTGGAATCTCTCCAGGTCTTTGGATGCCCGATTCCTTCTATTCTTTCTGCCTACCAGCAGGCCATCAGAACATGGCACAGTATCTTTTACGTCAGCTGCAAGGGGAACATGAGAAGGATTAGTACATGTTTGTGTTGATCTTTGATATGTGTAGGAGCAGGCAACATACTGTGCTGGTTTTGTTTGTGTGATGCTAATGTCCTAAGCATGACTGTTCTTATTGCTCAGTAAAGCTTTTATTTTGAGAATATCGTGACTTGCCGAACAAAACTGATGTCACTCCCATTTTCATGAGATGTATTTGAATTGTATATGAATTTTAAATGAACTGTTAACATAGTTTATTCACAAAATAGCACAAATAAATACAAAAAATCATGGTGCCTGGCATATGATACTCTGTCCAAAATATTCGCTTTTAAGTTTTCTTCAGGTATAGCTTCTCGACAGAATCTTGTAATAAATTCTCAAAGTCTGTACATTGTCTCCCCATTTTATTTCCCTCCCACACTAATATAATTTAGAAAGCAAGGAGGGGAATATGTAAAACATACCTTTAAACATAGATGATAGGAACACTTGGCTGCCTGCTATTATCACGAAGCATGTCGAGGATTTCAGCTGGTATTTCCCAGCTGCTGAATGAATGCCTTTAGTAGCGCTTCATGAACCAGGGGAGCACATGACAGATGGGGTTCCCAGGAATCACAGTTGTGATAGCAGCTACTCATATGAGAAATGTACTGGTTAGGAGACGCTCTTTTCCTGAAGTGTCTCACAAAATCCCCGGTTCCTAAAGATGTAAGCATCTTGTGGCTTCCCTAATAGCCCTGAATTAATGTTGGTGAAACATCTGCTGGTGATAAGGCAATGCATACATACTTTGGAGAAAGACTCCAGTCTTGTGTGAGGATGAAGGTGGAGACTGGTGTTGGAAGTATATTTTCATCACCCAAACAGTCCTAGTAGTCCCTTTCTCTATATCCTGTTGTTTCCCTTCTGCTGCCCAGAGTCATAATCTTACTCTGCTGGACCTGTCCTCTGCCAGCCATTCCAGATGGCAGATGGCCACAATCTCTGTACATTAGCACCAAAGTGGAAGCAAAAAGACAAGCGCAATCAGAGTTTGCAAAGTTTTGAAATGTGATCCTTGCCTATCTGTCTGCTGTTGAATTAGTTCTCATTTCAGTGCATCTGTGGTGATGACTGGAGATATCTCAGCATGCAACTGTGAAAATAGGGCCATTTGCATACAAAATTCTGTGGTGTTTCCTGGCCAGCTTAGATTGCATCATGTCTGTTCCAAAACCTGATTTGCTGTACAGACCCAGAAATGTTGCTTCATTACAGGCATTTGTTTAGGTTCCTCTGTAGTGCCTATTAGTTTTCATTCACTGTCTGAATTACCTGCTTCCCAGTTTTCTTTTTTTCTGCTACATTGCGAAGCGTTGGAAGCCTGAAATTATAAAAGGCTGTCATTCAGTTGTAGAAGAATGTAAAAAAATTCCTCTCATCTATTAAGCTCCTTGACTTACAAAGCAATGCCTGAGAATTTAAAGACTGGTATAAGAAACAGCAGATTATAGGATGAAAAGCATGACCTATTGGAATTTTGAACGGATAAAAGAGACTGTGCTTAAATTGAATTACGGCAGCTTGGCATCATATTCCCACAGGAGTACTACTGTCTTACAAAGGCAGTTCAAAAGTATAAACCAAGGATACAAGGAAGCATATACCAATATAGGATGCCATTTGCTAATAAAAATTCTTTCTGTTAAGGTGCGTTTTGCTCTCAGTGACGGACAGCTCTGCATGCGTTTTGACGTGATTGCATTATCAAAATCAGGCTGTTGATATAAATGCTACCATCCCTGGAGGTATTTAAAAGACGTGTAGATGTGGCGCTTAGGGACATGGTTTAGTGGTGGACTTGGCAGTGCTAGGTTAACGGTGGGACTTGATGATCTTAAAGGTCTGTTCCACCCTAAACAATTCTATGATTCTATCAGTAAAACACCATGAGTGTGGACTTGACCTCAGACTTTCTTCCCTTCCAACTTTCTTGGAAAGTCATATTGACATGTAGCCCCATGTTCCAAAAATTGTCAAATCTAGCAATTTGATTGGGACTTTAGGTACTAGTTATTGTTAGTTGTTGTTGGTTTGTTTGGTTTTTTTAACTACGTGGTTATATTTAAGAAAATAAATGGATTTTTTTTAACAAAGTAAGTATTTTTGGTATATTTTAAACATTTCAATATCGTATTTCAAAGTCTCTGTAAATCAGATTCAGAACCTTCACTGGCAACCTACAGTACTGAAGTACAAACAGCCATAATATTTTGGCATTATTATGTGGAATTGCTGTTATGCATTGCGATCATGTGATAATTGTTGATGGCTGGGGTGACAAAGTTTATTTATGTGACAGCCTCGTGATGGAGTCTAACTCACAAAGCTCTGCAGAACTTCATCAAAAGTAAACAAACTCCTTTTAACAGTTGTAAAAGGTGTTTGTTTTGACAAATCAGTTTCTATTGTTTTGCAAAGATTTCTGTTGGAACAAGGGTTTTATCTTTGGGTGTGAACTTCACAGCTTTACCAAAGGTGGTAATTTTAAAAATTGAAATGAAACAAAATTAATTCATTTTAAGGTATTGTCAGTAGTCAGTTTTGGCTGTCTAATTTGCATGCCTGATGACAAAAGTTTCATCTGTTCATATACCATCCTCTTCAAAAAACACCGGTTATTCGGAATTACAACAGTTCATTGTTATAGTGGTCAAACCTGCAAGTTCAATGACACGTCATACCAGTTTCTGAAATACGATTCTAGCATTGCTCCTGTTGAAGATTTGTAATCTAATGTTTGCATTTAGGTTTACAAAACTCCCTGGCTGCATGGTGTTTTTATGCATTCCTTCTTTATGTGCAGAGTAACAATTTGTGAACACATCTGAAAATTTATCAGAAGCTATGTTCTGTAGAAGTGCAAATTTGTAAATCACTTTAAGAGAAGACATTTAGCGGTAAAAGAAATAGCCCCCCCAAACAATAAAATAAGCTGAATATTACAAATTTGTGTTTGTATTAATTATATAGCTGCATTATTCATTCCTGTCTTTGGGGTAGAAAATGTGGGTGCTCAGTTAAATGTGCTGTTATTTTATAAGTAGGCCTATAGATACTGTGGTTTCTGAACTGCAGGGTCTGTCCAAGAGCACATTTTATTTTCTGAAGAGCACTTTATCTGTGCTGTAACTAAAGGAGAGGGTGTTTGTTCTGCTTTTTGTCCCTTCTTCTGGCTGGGGATTTCTTACTTGAACAATGCAATTACTACTTTTTTACTGAAAAATCACAAGGACGTTAATTATTGAATTGCCTAATCTTAAACCTTACATTAAAAAGGGAGTAATAAATAGCACAGTGTGTGAATGACCATCTTGTCTTGTATGAGGTATTCAAACATTTGTATGGATTCTGACTGTGCATTTTTTTTCAGGGAATGGTAAACTATACATGTTCGGCAGTAACAACTGGGGCCAATTAGGACTAGGATCAAAGAACACTGTCAGCAAACCAACATGTGTTAAAGGTTTGTTTAATTTTTCTTTTTTTGTCTTTTTGAAAGGAGACCCTTGTGAAAAGGCACTTTGTAAGATGCAGTTCCAAGATAACTGATTCTGCCTTCTTTACTCATCCTGTGTAGCACATTACTGCACAAGCTCATAAAGGTAGCTTAAAAAGATCCCTGATTGATTTTTCCATCAGTTCCAGATTCTGGGTCCTTTTGTGTCTGAAGATTACTTCAGATACATAGAATCCTGTCTTTTCTGAGGTCTCTCATTTTATGTAATATTTGCCTTTTCTGACAAACCGTATGTTCATTGTGACTGCAAAGACATTAATCAGATGCTTGGTCTCTGCAGCATTGTCTATGCGTTAGAAATCAGACTTCCAACAGCATTGTGTAACCTTTGTATCACTTTTGTCTTGTCACCTTTATAAATGAAAAAATCTGTCAGGAACTTTCTACAAGTACTGCTGCATTTTTAGCCAGTATAAGAAGTGCCCGAGGGGGCATAAATGTTAATATATTTGTATGAAGCAGTAGAAGAAATGTCCATATTCTTTCATGTGTTGTAAAATATGTTTTCATTGCACTGTTAATCTTCTTGATCTTTCCTAGCCGGTTTTTTCTTGTCAACCAAAACTAAGTTAATACTTTTTCCCTATCCCCTTGCTTATGTCAAGTCAGATCTATCCCATTAACACATTTCTTTCCACCAGTAAATGTTTATCCTCATCCTTTCTGCCAGGAGATCGATCTGTTAGCTTACTGTTAAAAACAAATTATCCTGCTTGTTCAAACTCTTTTCTTCCTGATTTAGTTTATTCTACTGTCCTTTATCTGCTCCTCTCTCTGTTTCACTTCAGAGGGAGAATGCAGCTACTCTCAGGTTCATATCTTCTGTCAGCCATGTGAGAGATTGATTCTTACCTTGGCTTAAATGGATTGGGTGTCAAGTTTTCTTTTTACTGTCAAATTGCAATGGAGAATAAAAGATGAAGAGAAGATGACTGCAATTCAAACCAGACCTGGCATCCATTGAAAAAAGTCACAAGGGGGGTATCTTTCTTCTCTTGGCAGTAGACAGCAGGAGAAAGTCCTGGAGCTTTTCTCACAACTTTCAGTCATCACTTGGCTTTGGGAGTGGGGTTGCAAGGACACATTTCAGTTTCTGCTTGGGGCCAAATGGTTGTGGCTGCATGTTTTCTGAGAAAATATCTTCTGGGACTTGACTAGAGACTAATGAAATTGGTTATGAAAAATTGCCAGCAGCATTGTAAATATAGCATGGCTCACCAAATACAATTGATTAGCCTAAGCGGGAGGAAGGTTAGGGAGCACAGGCTTCTGAAGAGCTGATTAAGATCATCTCTGAAGCTGGAGGCAGAGTTTTGGGATATAAAACAGCAGGAAGCCAACATTGGAAGTGTTACGGTTCCAGCCTGGTGGTAGTGGTAGGTGTCGGATAGGATAGGCAGGAACCTGAATTTGGACAATTTATGTTTGTGTCTGTGTGATAGACCAAAGACAGTTCATGCTTAAGTAGATAGATTTATTCAGTTACTTGGTAGAAGGTAAAAGGGACTTTAATCTGAATGTTATGGAGCTGATGAAAGTTGATTTGGAAGGACTGAAAAAGGGTTTGTGAAAGGAATGATGGTTGTTGGCTTTGTCATGGACTAGTGCAGTGGAAAAGCAATTAAAGATGCATTATGTAAAAATAGTGCTGGTTTAAGAGCATTGTATAGGGCACATGGACGTGGCCGAGAGAAGGTAAATTGTTGGCAACGATCAGTAATTGGAGAGAGGATGGAAAAGTCGGTGAGATTTTTTTCTTCTGTTTCTGAAATGGAGTGCACTTGCCATGGGAGAAAAGGCACCTCTGTATTCTCTCTTTCCCAACAAAATAACTCTTGACTCCTCTCAAATACATTCCCAGTCTTTCACAGTGACCAGACTGCAGAGAAGTACATGCGGTGGGTGGGTGGTAACTGAGCTGAAATTGAGACAGGATGGTATATGCAAAAATTTTAGGCACTAGTCCAGATAGGACTGTCTTGGCAATTGAGTTTGGTGGTCAATAAGAGGGCAGTGCAGAGCAAAAGTCAAGCAAAAAGGGTAGCTGTGCATAATGAAGGAAGATAGGGATGATAAGACAAAAGAACGGTATGATTTTAAAGATTTTAGATAGTGGGAAAAGCATAACAGGAAGTAAAGAATAGTACTGTTACTGAAAACTAAGCTTTAAGCATGCATTTTGTCCTGCAACTTGATATATTCTTTGAGGCATATCCCATAAATGGTAAATTCTGGGGAATGTGGCATTGGGATGAAGTAGCCATCATCAAGTTAACCTGAGTGTCAGCTATAAGTTTTTAAGGTCTACATCTGTTTTCTTGTCTTGGGGGAATCCTGATTTAATAAGTCATGTGCTAGGTTTAAATGGGCAATGAATCTTGTAATCATTCTGTTAAAAATATGAAAAAAATAAGAGCTCCCTCTAGAGCATAGAACATTTTGTTGTTGAACCAGCTATCAGCTTGTTTATAACTTTTCCCCCCCGTTTGGCTTTAATTCATAGCTTTAAAACCAGAAAAAACAAAACTTGCTGTTTGTGGAAGAAACCACACTTTAGTTTACACAGGTATGTAACCTATATTATATACATATTAAAGATAGATTTCTTCCTTTGCTTTCATGCAAAATTACATTAGGAACCTCAGGAATGTTGAGGAAGGAAAAATAAATGAAAATGGGACTGTTAAAACTTGGGGGTTTGATATCCAGTTCTTTGAATACTTGATTTATTCTGAGCCAATGCATTTATAAAATAATGTTATATAGGAGTTTGCTAGCAACAGACAGATGAAAAAATTTCTTGCTGGCATTTGAGGTGTGGTTAACAATTATCAATATTTCATTTAAGCCCTGTAAAGGTATACTAGTATTTTTTATATATCGGTGCTCAAATTTGCCTTTGACAAGTAATTTATCTTTATTAGTGTGAAGTTATATATTTGAGTAAATATAATAGAACTGAATGTTTTCAAGTCTTCAAATTTTGTCGCATTTTGGTTAGACAAAGTAGTCTGCTATTTCAATGACAAATTGCTTTATTAAGCTATAAATAAACAAACTGTAAATTTAAACTAAAAAATAAATTTTTAGAGAGACAGTATACAGAGAGTTGATGCAAATTCTTGTCATGCTTCTAAAATTTATGTAATGGAATAGACATCTTTCTGGTTGCAATCCTTTAGCTTGCAGTAATGTTATAAAGAGGATTGTTTGATTATTAGGAGGTTTATATATGTGGAGACCCTAAGCACTGTAAATAAGACTATTAGAATAAAGCAGAACATTTTAATAACAGTTGTGTATGCAAGACTGCACAGGGTAATATTAGTCACTTTTAGTGTACACGCTGGCTAGATAATTTGTGGCTATTTATATAGCTAGGGCCATTTATAATTTGTATGTCAGTTGCTTATCACATTTGTGTCTGGATTTGTGTTATTAATGGGCCTTATCTTTTTCATCATAGATGAACACTTTAGATGTGAAACATAACAAAATTAAAAATATAAATCTTAAAGTTCTCTTAAGTTGAAGATATCAATCATCAGTTTTAACTTCAATTTTAAGATTCTAAACCAAAATAAAGACCTAGTTAATTAAATCGAAAGTGATTCAAATATTGAAATGAGTAAAATATTTCTAAAAAATATTTCTATAATATTTCTATATATTTCTATAAAAACCTGAGCAAAAATATATTTCATTCACAGTACTCAAAACTATCAAGTTATGCATCGCTTTAATTTACGTACTAATAAGACTTCAGTTTTCTTGCCTGTGACATCATTCACCATTTTCCTCCTGCTTTATCTTAAAATATACATTATTTGGGGAAGGAGCTTCTTCTGGCTGCCAGGGCTACTAATAGTCATTTTCTCAGAACTCTTGCAGAACTCCAAATTATATTTACTTTTTAGATCAGTCTCCAGAATGGTGGGAAATGCAGTCAGTCTAAGTACATGTAAGGCCGTTAGAAAGTTCTGATCCAAGCGTGTGCAGGAAAGCCTCCTTGCTAGCTACAACAGACACTGCTAATGTCAACTCGAGGATATTTCAGGGCAGTAGACCCCAACTTTTCTGTAATGTTTTTCCATCGAAAATTAAATGACTTGCTCCAGTTTTTCTGACTTTTTACCGTTGATGAGAATGTCTTCATTCTATGTATTACATTTGCTTTTCTGTATGCAGAAAAAGGAAATGTGTATGCTGCTGGAGGTAACAGCGAAGGTCAGTTGGGATTAGGTGACACAGAGGAAAGGACCACATTTCATTTAATTAGGTTTTTTACCAACCAGCACAAGATCAAACAGCTAGCAGCTGGATCATATACCTCAGCAGCAGTAACTGGTAAGAGCAACCGCTAATAAAATCTACTTATGTGTGTGCAGCCTGGTGTTCCAGGGAAACATTTATTCCAGCATTCTGTCTGCATATGTGATTGTATTTTCTATGCCTCCCTGTCTTCTTTCCGTAATAACCATAGTCATTTTTTGATAGCCGATTGCCCATTTCAACACAATCTGGTAAGGGGTGGCAGTCTCATTAACTTCCTACAATTTTTGTGAAAGTAGACCTTTTCCAAGAGCGATAGCCTGCAATGGGAGCTCAACCTGTACTAGTTTCGTAGGAATCCTTATAAAGGAGAGACAGTACAAATACCCTCAAAATTGGAAAAATCTTCAGTTCATTTCCAGGGAAGCCAGCTACAAAACATGAATCTTATTAAAACTAAGTTTCTCTAATTCCACTTCTTACTGCAGCTGTTTTGGTCTACAGGTACAGGCTACACCGCTGTATCATTACTAATTCTGAGAGAGGCCTAACCTATGACCTATTTCTCCGATGGCAAAATTACACAATTGCGACATGTTGAAGTCCACACAGTCACAATACTTTCAGCCATTGGACGAGTGGTCCTTTATTACCCTATGATGTAATTTCTCAAGTTTTGCTATAAAGCAGCTGTTTCTGTACATGTTTAGGATAAGTTATTGAGGCTGTCATTTCAGAATGTGACAGAGAGCATAAGAGTGTGTGAGAGAGATGCCAGCCTGCTCATTTGGTTTGTATTTTTTTGTGACAATTGCTAACATGCTCCTGAGATTTGTAAGTCAACTTTGAATGATTTTAGTTCCCAACAGCATCTCAGTAGCACTGTAGATGGTACATTTTTTTATTCACAACTTATTTCCCACCAATAAGAAATATGCAGAGGGAAGACCTCATCTGTTCTAGAAAAATCTAGAGATTTTTCATGTTGTTCGCTACCTTTTTTTGGTTTTTACTGCTGCCATTGGTCTTTGTGTCAACAGAGGCTGGTCTTAATAAACCTGGAACAGCTTTTGTGATAGTTTAAGGAAAACAAAACGAAGCTGGGCAATATAATCACCTGTGAAGAGAACTGAAAGATAAGGCAAGAATAAGTGGGATGTGTGCCAAAGTCCGGACAAAGAATAAGTTTGGAAGAATGAGAAAGTGGTGACTTGCTACTAGAAATAAGAAGATGCTTTAAATTCACCGTAATATTTTCATACTGACCTCTGGCAACTGAATTGTCTTATATGCTCAATCTTCCTCTTTTTGAAGGAATGTTTTTACATAGTACTTTTCCTGTTGCTATTTATGGTCTAACATCAGTTGATGACTAAGTGTTCTCTGTCACTTTTGAAAAGCTTAAGGGATACCCTCTTACTTCAGACTTTTTTGTTGCATTGTGCTAAATACCATTTTACATCCCTGAAATCATGACATTTAGTAGTATCATACACAGTTTATGAAATGCTCTTAAATGGGTAGATTAACTTTTTATTAGTTTTGTTTTTAAATCTGTTAACTGTCTGTGTCTTCATTTTAGAGGATGGGCAGCTTTTTGTGTGGGGTGACAATTCGGAAGGTCAGATTGGCTTGGCTGATGAAGCCTTTGTCAGTGTCCCTTGTCAAGTGGATGTTGGAAAACCTGTTTCCTCTGTATCCTGTGGATATTATCACTCTGCCTTGATAACAGGTAAGAGAATGGGAATAGCGGTTAGTGGAGACAAGTCAGTGGTTCTCAAATTGTTGGCTTTGTAAAGGTAGCTAATGAGGCATTCATTACTTTCGAAACAAGATATGCCATAGTTGTTAAAAACTGCCATGTGGCGGAAAGTCATCTATGTAGTTTTGTGTCACATTGGGAGATTTTACCAGAGACAGGTTCTCTAAAGTGTGGTCCTAACTGAATTATTTAGGAAACTTGTATGTAATCTGCTATATAATTGTATAGTATCATTGAATTAACAGTACTGTGAGAAAAAACGGCAGTTATTTTTCTGCACTTGCTCAGTGTTGTGCAAAAGTATATTAGTTGTTAAAAACTGCCATGTGGCGGAAAGTCATCTATGTAGTTTTGTGTCACATTGGGAGATTTTACCAGAGACAGGTTCTCTAAAGTGTGGTCCTAACTGAATTATTTAGGAAACTTGTATGTAATCTGCTATATAATTGTATAGTATCATTGAATTAACAGTACTGTGAGAAAAAACGGCAGTTATTTTTCTGCACTTGCACATTGTTGTGCAAAAGTATATTAGAAGGAATGACTATCTTGCCACACTTTATGTTCATGAAGGTTATGACAAATGTTGTGGATTAATATTATGGTTTCAATAATTCAACTTTTCTTGAGATTATTCATTTTTTTGTGATGATCAAATAATCACCTTCATCTTCTCTAGAAATATAAATATTGAATAGACTTACTATGTTTTGAGGAAAAATTAATCTCATTTGCTAGCAGTGCAATATTGTTGTCAAAGTTTGATGTTATGTCTTAAAGTTTTGAAGTCAGTTAAACAGGCAGTATATGATATGAAGAGAAGCATACCCTACAGTGAGTCGGTGTCCGATCTCCAAACCAACCCACCTCTCTGTTGCTTTCCACCTCTCTCTTCCCACCTCTCTGTTGGTTTCCAAAGCGATGCTGCCACTCATTTTTTAATAATGCCAATATGGGTGAATTTATCAGTCAGTACTGATGGTATTATATATGAGCAGCCATGAATTCCTCTCAGCCATATAGATTTACTTTATTAAGCTTTACAGTTCAGTCCCCTCAGAGTAATTAAAGATTTGAAAGGTTCAATAGTTTTGATCGTAAAGCTTTTAATGGGTACGCAGGAACTATTCCGTCAGATGCTTTTCTCAGGTTACTTGATAAATGTTACTTTTTCACATACAATATCTATCTAGCTCTCTGAGAATATGCTGCTAACAGAATGAGAGCTTCCTATGGTGGACAAATACTAATTAGGTGTTATGCTGGGAGTGTGCAACTTTTATTACAGATGCTTTATTACAGTAAATGAATGAAGTTCCTCTGACTGATCAGGAGCTCAGCACCTGTTAGGAAATCTACAGCTTCCTGAACTCAAAATAAATGGCGGGGGGGAAGATCCTTACTTCAAGGATATAGTACGAAAGTGTGTATTTCTGCCTTCGAGCCGAGAGCTGAAGCTCTGACAAGACTGCAGTGGGATGCGACAAAAGCTCTCATTAGAAAAAAGGTTGAGGACAAGCATCTAAGAGCAAGGAGAGAACAGTGTGTGCCAGGTGCTCTAAGGAAGTGGAAACTTTTAATGGAGGGGGATGAGAAAAAAGGATTAGGATAGCAGCTGGGTAGGAGAAATGGAGCCTCTTAAAATATTAATAAGAAGATGAACTGGTTAGCACCTGTGAAAATGGGGAGTTGTTGAACCCATTACTGTTTAAACAGGCCTGGGTGTGAGACGGAAAATCTTAATTTTCAGCCTTAGTATCTGCAAGTCCTGCACAAACTGGGCTTCAATCTATCTCGCTGAAACTACTGACACGTGGATGGCCTCTTTTGTGGTGAAAGGAGAAATCTTTTTTTATTATTTTCCTTTGGGCCCTTGCTGACGGTTTTATTTGACTGATACTTTAACTACCATAGCATTTTAGTGTTGGACATCAAGGTACTTTTACTGAATTGATCTTCTATTGCAGTAGTGCCAGTGTGTATCCAGACAGTGTTTAAAAACAAAGCTTATGCATTTTATCTAAGTGTACCATAGTCACACATTATTTTAGCTATGAAGTTAGCTATTAAATTATGAATTTGGAAGTTCTGCAGGCTGAGTCTGAGTACAAATGTAGTTACCTTATTTTTCTTACAGCCTAGTTAGGAAGGAAGTCAAGGCACTATGCTGTTAAAAGATTTTGCTTAAAAAAAGGTGATTCTTTCATTAGTATTAGGATTCTTTTTTCAAGTATGGAAAACATTGGCCTGTAGGACTTGCTAGACTGGCTCAGAACAGCGGTTCACATCCTCAGTATAGTGCCTCTGAGGGGTAGTAGAACATAGCAAACTAGATAATTATGGAGTATTTGGAATATTCATATTATAGGGACTGGGTTTTTTCCACCCAAATTGCCAGTTAGTCATTGAATTATGCCTTGAAGTATGTTTAAAAGTTTGCATAGCACAGGGAGTTTGCCACGTATTTTTATTGTGTGGTTTTATCTTGTATACTAGAATTTAGAGTGATTAGTGTTATTTTTAATATATACTTTTGGAGGAAATATCTGGAAAAGAAAGTGTTTCTGTATTTCCAGAAATGAAATTTGAACAATTCAGGTGAGTGCATAATCGGTATTAATTCCCTCAACATCAATAAAGTATACCAGAGGAACTTTTTTGTATTGTGGTTGCTGTTACTATGGAAGAAATGGCAGAAACACTGTTAATAGAAAGCTTTCAACACCTGTAACTTACCAGTTATTAGAATACTATAGAATTACTACATTCTGACTTTTTAAACATGACTTGTACATAAAAAAGCATCAAATAATATACTGTCTTTAATAATAAAACATAGTTGCAGGATGTAGGACTTGGGACATGTTGCCGCACTGAACCGATGAGCATGGCACCATGTGGTTCCCTTTCTTAATAGATTTACGTTTGACATAAGCTGTGTGCTGGCTAAGCAAACTGTTAGGATCACAGGCATATCCGGGTTAAAACTAAAAGGTGGTTAATGAGGGTACTACAATACATAGTGTGGTCACAGAGTGCCCTCTCCAGGGCAGGATGTTCATTAATAAGAGACTATTGAGAAAAGAAGTATGGATTCCAGCTTTTTTTTTTTTTTAAACTGAAGTCATTATTTCTTTGAAACAGCTGGTTTTATAAATGATGTTTTAGTAGGCATTTGTCTTTAAGGTGTTTAACTACTATAAAGCCAAGTGCAATGTCAATGAAAAGTAGAGTGGAATCCTGACACAAACCTTTAGTAGACAAAAGCATGTTTTATGGAAATTGTACAGCATTCAGTCATCTGAATTTGTACTTCAGTTCTACAACACTCCCCCCACCCCCAAAGCTTCTCAAATCTAGTATTTCCAAAAAGATGATTTGTCACCTTTCTTACTTTTGCTTTTTAGAATGCCTTCTCTGCAGACGATAATTCAACTACTAAACATGCCAGTCACCTGTTTTCTACCATGTACACGTGGGCCCCACTGACGCCAAAAGTAGATGTAGAATAGAAGAACAGAATATATCCTGAATTATTTTTAATAAAAAACACTTCTGAAATTTAGAGTAGGCACAAGCACAGGCAACGGCTAGCTCACTTCCAGATGCAAATTAGGGAGCTGGTCTGGTTACTCACTTCATGTTTGAAAGATGATTGTTTGCTCCCTTTTCCTCTCACTTTGCATCTTCAAAGAGTTCCACTGAAAAGAAGTTTTTAGTTTATAGTTTATAGTCCTCTTTAGGACTTTTTCCCAGTATCTGTTTCCTTTCCTTTCTTTTTGCAGACTTAGAATCATAGAATCATTAAGGTTGGAAAAGACCTCTAAGATCATCGAGTCCAACCGTCAACCCAACACCACCATGCCCACTAAACCATGTCCCTAAGCGCCTCATCTACACGTCTTTTAAATACTTCCAGGGATGGTGACTCAACCACTTCCCTGGGCAGTCGTCCTATCGCTTGTTCCTTGGGAGAAGAGACCGACACCCACCTTGCTACAACCTCCTTTCAGGTAGTTGTAGAGAGTGATGAGGTCTCCCCTCAGCCTCCTTTTCTGCAGGCTAAACAACCCCAGTTCCCTCAGCTGCTCCTCATAAGACTTGTTCTCCAGACCCTTCACCAGCCTCGTTGCCCTTCTCTGGACACGCTCCAGCACCTCAACGTCCTTCTTGTAGTGAGGGGCCCAAAACTGAACACAGTATTCGAGGTGCGGCCTCACCAGTGCCGAGTACAGGGGCACGATCACTTCCCTACTCCTGCTGGCCACACTATTTCTGATACAGGCCAGGACGCCATTGGCCTTCTTGGCCGCCTGGGCACACTGCCGGCTCATATTCAGCCGGCTGTCGACCAACACCCCCAGGTCCTTTTCCGACAGGCAGCTTCCCAGCCCCTCTTCCCCAAGCCTGTAGCGCTGCATGGGGTTGTTGCGGCCAAAGTGCAGGAGACTTGGGACGTTAGGTCCCCATATTAGAGGTATGTCTCAAAGAAAGGAACAGAGAAAGAAAGAGCTGAAAGAGTATAGCAACAGTTTTGAGTCCATATACAGATCTTTACTTGACTAGTCTTTGACCACGCTCACTCAAGAGGGGACAATTTTTCAGACAGCATTAAGCTTGGCAAGCATATATAGCTCATTTGTCCACTGGAGGAGATGGAGAGCAGGAAAAGCCAATGTATCTAACCACTACTTTGGTGTCTACAGCGGAATTACATTCATGGAGCCAGAAAGGAATTGAATATATTAGACCTCTTCTGGTGTTCCTCCTGCCTGAACTGTTACTATAAGCAAGGTCAAGATAGAGAGCTTTGCGGGTTCCTTGAATTCCTTTTTTTAATGTACTTTGTCATTATTTTTAAGGACTAGTTTTAAAGATCATCCATTCCACAAACACTTCCATGCTCAGAATTTCAGTGTTTGAGGTGGTCTCAACCAATTTGGTCTTGAATAAATACTTCTTTTTTTTTTTTTTCTTCATTTATTTAAGGGATCATAGAGTGATCCAATTCTTTTGTCTACTGTCCTCATTTGCCACCAGTCAGGTCTCATATCTTCTCTCATCTGCGGTATGTGCATTTGCGTTTGAGGGGCAAAGACAGTTTTCCATTTGCTTGCCCATTTCCTAGACATGCTCCTGTGACCTAAAGTTTAGTGATATGGAAAATGTGCCACACTAGGGAAAGTTCAACACATGAGAATGTGACTCATGTGAGAGGAGAAAATGAAATATCCATGTTCCATTGTGAACAGAATGTCCTTAAAATGCTGATGTACTGCACACATACTGTACTCAAAATTTATCTGGGTGTGACTGGATGCTTTTTATGCTTGATAGCTATTCTTCATAGTTTTTAGACTACTGTTTGCCTTAAAGGGATGCGTAATTTATTCAAAAGTTGCTTTAATAAATGGGTTTATCTTTGTTAGCTGGATTATTAAGTTGAAAAAATGTAATAAACTTGATTAGTTTGGGAAGTCAGTGGAAGCTTGGCCATTTGAATCTCTAATCTTATTAATTAGATTGTGACTGAATTAATATTTGCAGTGTGGTAGTGTTTAAAAAGAAGTGCTGGTCTCTTCAAAGAGAACTGCGTAAGTAGTTTACTCCCAAGTGCTTTTGGGGGTTTTTCAGCTTGTTTCTAGAAATATATGGCAGATCCAAGAGTATTAAAACAATACTTACCTTCCAAAAAATACAGGGTTCTTTTTGTTGTTGGGTTTTTTCTTTCTTTTTCACTTAGAATCCCTAATAAAATGTCTTTTTTGTCAGTGAAATGTTTTGGTTACAGAAAGCCTCACATTGCAGTTGATTTTTTTGTTGTTAATTGGACTACTGCTTTAGAATACAAAATTGATGCTGCTGCAAATAACTGCAAAGTATCAGCCTGTTCAGAGTATTTCTGCACGTAGGTATAAGAATAAAGATCAGAATTAAAACAGAAAATCAAACTGGATGGAGAAGCCTAAACACAGTCCAAAGTTTAGAAATGAAATGAAATATACTTTTCTGCAGCTGAGATCATTTGCTGTTTCTTAAAAAACACACAGATTGAAATGACTGCAAAACACCTCTTAGAAAAGAAGTGTAGAAGAATGCAGCAAAAGCATTTCTGCACAGATGCATGCAGGTAAATGAAGTGTTATAATATTATTGGTGTAGTTTGTGTGTGTAGGAAAGAAAATGTCAGAATGGTAGAAAAAATAAGGACAGCTGGGAGGATGGGGTTACACCTCTGATGGTGATAGTTGGGAAATACAGCTACTATCCCATTTCATTGTCTTGCTGAAGAGAATGTATCTCTGTGAATAGATTGTGGGTGGCTACTCTTAATAGCGTGAGCCCTGTGAAACCCTGCAGGAAGCTTGACATTGAGTGAGATTGTATTATTGTCATTCCCTGATTGCCTCTCTGTGCAGTCAGAGCGTTCGGTAAAGATAGTAAGTCCAGTTGCTAGCCTTAGTGGCCCAGGAGCACGGTACTTGAAGAATCTGTGCCATTGTGAGAGGCAGAAGTGATCTTGGAAAATACAGAAACCATATAAAATAGTCTGGGATTTCTTTGACTAAGGCAGAGGCTAAATTTCTTAGGTCTTGTAAGCTTTACAAATAAATATTGTGCCATCAAAGTTAGGTTCTAAACCTTTGGTGGAGGTGCTGGGTTGCAACTTTTTGTTGAGGCTTAGGACCCATTTTCCATTTAAGGCAGGAATTTGGCTTTTATGAAAAAAAGTCCTTTTTACAGTTTTTGCTCTTTGAGTATGTCATACATTTTTTTCAGATTTTTTAAGTTAATTGATAATTTTATGCATTTAAATTAATTTGAAGCTGAGGTATCTTAAAAAATGCATAACCTCTTTTTTTTGTCCTGAATGAACTTTACCATAAAATAAGAGACATACTTCAGATTCTCCCTCTAACTAAAATTCATTGAAAACCTATCCTCAGACTTCCTTTGAAGAAAATAGATCATAATTTAGACCTTTTTTTTTTGCTTATTGTGGACTGTCGATACCAAAGGTAACTTACATCACAAATCAGCGTGACTGCTCCAGAATTGCTTCCTCTGAGAGGATGGGAGGAGAAGCACTGCTTTATTAGAAGACATAGTAGTTTAAGGGTTTTCAGAATGAATCAAAGCTCTTCTGATGGAGGGTCCTGGCAAAAGCAGCCTGTGCTGCTCTGTTCTATGCACCCACTGCTGTAGTCACTCTTTAGCACAAAGTAATCAAGAGCCAAGTGCCACAAAGAAAAAAAATTATATATCGCTGGCAAAAGAGTTTTCCAGGAAAAACATTTTGCATCTAGTTTATCTATTGGATTTACTAGGTGACTTAAATGAAAATGTGTTACTAACTAGTTGCCCCATAGTTATACAAAATGAAGATGCGGTTTTGCAACCTGAAATTCTTGCTCAGTTTTTATTCATGCAAAAGGAAATTTTAAATGAGTGTATTGCCAGAGTAAAGCTCAGGACGATTCAATAAAAACAAGACATTTCTTACTGACACCGGTTTTGACTTTCTCATCATCAGCATGAAAAATTCAAAAAGATAAAATTTCTTTCCTGTCTTGGCTTGGTATGCCCAAGTTTTAATAAACTACAGTTCATTTTGAATCATATCCTTCCATTTTTATTGGCTTGGTTTTAATAATTTGACTAATCTCATTTGCTTTTTAGAGTGCGTATGTAGCTTCATTTTTTCTACTTTACATTTTTATTCATAGGTTTACTTTTAACTCTTCCATATTTCTTATTTCTGTATAGGCTTCTTTTTTTGGTCATTGCCATTGTCCTTAAATTCCCAAATTTTAAGTTGTGGCTGACAAAGTGCAAGGAAAAAGCAACAAATGCAGCAGCTATGCAAATGGGGAAATATTCACAAAGGCTAACAGAATACTAGTAATAAGTTTGTTTTCTTATGCTGGGTCTACGTTCAATGGAGAGAAGGATTGACTTCTCTAATGGTCAATTCTGAACACCTAAATAAGGCTTCAGCTTTGAAACTTTCTTTGAGCTCATCTGCTTTCATTGTCTGTGGGGAAAGACCAGCATTTCTAAGATTAACCCAACTTTCATGTTGGCAAGGAATTCATAGCTTTTGAATAAGAATCTCTCAGATACTTGTGCATCATGCAATAGTAATGCCTCTAAATGCTGTAGAAGTAAATTTGTGAACGCTAAATGTATCCCTCTGAAAGTAAAAGTACATTTTGTATTGAAGTACAAATCTGCACATTTCCAAAAATATTGCAGATGGGTGCTTCTGATGACTGAGCTTTAATAATGGAGTATACTTCTGGGGTTTGTTATTATGTTGATTATGTCACTGTAGCTATCTCTTCGACTTTCCTTTAGCAGGCAGCTCCTACACTGGTTTAAACATTTCTTTATCTTGGACTAGCTCCATGTGAAAGTTTTGTTTATTCTCGTGCTTTGTTATATCCAACTGGGATTAAAACCCAAACTTTTTCTTACATAATAGTGTATGATGATTTTTTTGGTAAGTAATTTCAAATTCAGGCTGCGGGCCACAATTTGCGATGAGGACACTACTCCACAGATAATCTTTTTCAGGAGTGGGGAACGCTCAGCTATTAACTTGAAGCTTTCCTGGCAGTAAGGAAGCGTTTTCTACCTAAACCTCACTCTGACCTATTAGAACAGTTGGGGGCCCCTTAGCATGGAAAATCAGAAATGTAGATGTAGATAAATTGTAAAAAAAAAAATGGAGATAAATGTAAAAGATGTAGATAAATGTAGATAAATTGTAAATGAAGCAACGGAAAGTACATTTTACATGTTCCATTTTTAACTATGGTAGAAGGTTATATAGAATGCTGTCTTGAATGGTAATTCAGACTTACATAGCAGTGAAAAAGCAAAGGGAGTGATTGGAAAAGATAAAACAAAGGAAACTTGAAAGTAAAATGAATTACCCAAATTTGGGATTGAACAGTTTTTTAACTGGATTCTTAAAAAGTCTGGGTGAATGAGAAGGGTCATCTTGTATGATTATGTGGCAGATCAGAAAGAAGTTACGGTAAGAGATCCGTAAAGACCTCTCAGTATTTTTTTGAACTTAATTCTGGTGGAGTTATTGCTATGAAACCACTGCTGTATCCCTGTTGTTGGATATACAGCTCTTTTCTTGCTGTCCAGACCACACAGTTTCATTCCACTCTGCTTTTTTCTTTTTTTTCTCTGTATCTTGCAAGAAGAAAGTGTGGATTTTCCATCAAAACTCCATGCAAAACGATTTTCTGTTTTAATTGAGATTGTTACAAGCAACTTCAGCTGACATAAATACTAATTACAGAGGGAATTATAACCTCTCAGAAGCAGGATGTATATGGTTTTGTTTTTCCCTTGGCTAGATTCCTTGCAGGCTAAATATTGCGGTTCCCATCTTGGAGGGGGCTAAAATTTAGCCCCGTCTTGTCCCATCAAAGCAGACTGCTTTGCCAACTGTTTGGACATTATACAAATATGTTCAATTATCCTGTAATGTTCGTATACTTTTCTGTCTTACTGATTTGTGTCTGCAGCAGTCTTGACAACCCATCCTTGCTTCTGAGTGCATGCTGGAAATCCTGCTCCCTTCTGTGTTTTCACAGGAGATGGTGAGCTCTATACTTTTGGAGAACCTGAGAATGGGAAACTGGGATTATTGCCCGAACAGCTGAAGAACAATAGAGTCCCACAGCCTGTACTGGGAATTATGGAAAAGGTTAATAAGGTTGCTTGCGGTGGAGAACACACAGTGGTGCTGACAGGTATGCAATTTAACTGGCTTTTTTTACAGCCCTATAACTTAATCAGTAAATTCAATTTACTTTAAAGAATTTACATCCCACTGAGATGTGAGATGCTGTAGTGATCCTAACTGGAAGACCATTGTACATCAAGGAGGTAGAAATCCTTGTAACAGTTAACCTAGATGGCTTAGGCCTGTGCTGTGCTGTGCGTATAGTTTGACGTTCAGGCCTGTGCTGCGGATATCCTTTTGCTGCAGGATAAACTTCACCAGCTAATTGTAACAGAGGAGCTTACAGGCAGCTTCTACTTGGTACCAGTGGTTACAACACCTGCATGTCCTTGCCTTTATCTAAAACTTCAGCAGCAAGTTCCCATGTGAATGCCCTTTTTATTTGACAGTATAAATGATGAATAGAGTTGTTTTGCTTGTAAGAAAATCCTATAAGAGCTCAAATGACCAAAATGGGGTAACCTTCCACGGATGGGATCTGCGTAGCATGCTGTGCCTGGCTTGGAGGCGTGTTCAATTCCACACAGCTCAGGATTCCCAGCATCTAAAGGGACATGAGATTATTGATACTATCTTCTTTTTCTTTATAGTCTTAGCTCCAATAAATAGCATTTTAAGAGATACTTTACAGAGCCTGAGTGCCTTTCTTTCTGGAATTGTAACAAGCCAGTACCTCCTAGTGCAACACGGATGATTGATGTTTCTTTCCTCTGAGGAGCTTGAAAGTGGTATTGGTATGAGGGGGAAAATTTTAGAGGAAAGCTTCCATTCTGTAGTAAATTTAAATGACCCTGAATATTTAGGAAGGCATTTAGGAAGTCACTTTTCAAGTAGCTGTCTGTTAATAGTAATGGAGATGCACAATCTACTGGATGCCTAAATGGATTAAATATCTCTTGTGATACAGAATTTGCCTGTGACTTTGAGCAGAATCTTTAGCATACATATAAAACTAGTACATTAGATGTAGACATTCAACATATCGTACAAGTTAAAAAAACCAGCAAATACAACCGTTACATATTAGCTCACAGGGTTGTATGTCTAGTACTTGGAAGATGAAATATGGTTTATATTACTGTACTATCAAATAGTTGTGTGCCAATGGTAAATTAGCTTTTCAAAGAGATACATGCAAAGCATTGCTAGCTATTTATTTCCACAAGTTCTATCCTGAACTATAGTAGCATAGAAGCAGGAAAGGGGAGTTTGACTTTGCCCACAGATGATTTAAAAAATATCAGCTTTGGCTTGTAATGAATTCCACAGCTGCATAATATGCCTGTAATTAATCTCCTACCAAAATGCAAAAACTATAAAAACAAGTAGGATGTATAGATATCAGTCCTTAAATCTGTGTTTTGAAAATGCTAAGGTCATCTCTTGTCAATCTGGCAGAGTGCCTTCAAAGTTATGTAACCAAAATTTCTAAAATATAAATTGAAAATCTAACTGAAATTGTAAGTAATATGATGTGGTATTGTACTGCAAGCCACTGGAGAGAGTAAAGGTAGTAGTGATGTGCTGGGAAAGGTTATGTGTAATGATGAGTCAAGCTGCAAGATTCTGGGTAGGTTAAAACTCCTTTGGGAAAACTATGAAGAGGAAATAACAGTAGCTAATCCAGGAAATAATGCAAACATTTGTCTACATTTCAATGCCTTTGTCTGTCTTCTTCCACCAATATACAGTCTTACCCTGGCAGTATTCTATGTCATAAAATAAATTTCTTTACATGAAATCAGATTATCATTATTAGGAAAAAAATTACCATAAATTTGGGGCCAGCAAATGTCTAAATCATAGTATTATTTTATGGGTTATAAAGTGAGGTTCTGCAGAAAGAATTTTGTTATCATTATTATTTTTTTAGCCATAAATCTGAAGCCAACCAATAGATATTTTGTTTTAATGGTATTTCATGTGATAAAATTTCATTATAACTAATGACTGTTACAGACATTTAGTAGGAAGATGTAGACCTGGATGATGTCAGCATTATAGTGAAATCTATACAAGAGCTAGAACAAAGAGGCAAAATATAAATGCCAAAAAACAAATACAGTGAAGAAAACACCATAGTAAGTCAGTGTCTTAGTATGTAAGATTTACTTGCCTATGGGAATAGATTTTGTAGTAGAAGGCAAATAAGAAATTCAGTGCTGGCTTAGCTGGCAGTTGATGACCAAAGTGTTGAGTGCCAGAAGATCCAGTTGAGTCAAGAGAAGAGGAAAACAATATCCTTCAACAAAATACATTTGCCTAAAGATTAATAGTTGTTGTGATAAGAGTGAAAGGTCAGATAGATCTTTTTTAATGTGATTCAGCTATTATTAAATAGGCTACAGCTATGAACTTCTGCCTAAGACACTTTGAACAAGAGAGTAGAGGATAATGGAAATACTGTCTCAAGTGAAAGATAGTTCGTCAGGCGTGTTGACATACAGAAATTTTTCTGACTCAAAATTTGGGGAAAAAATTGGGAAAAGAGATGGATTTGGACACTGTAATCATTTAAAAAGTGAGTGTAGCATACATGCATTATAGGCTTTGCACCAGAAACTTAATTTGAAATCAGTACTGAAGTTTATATTGCATCTTGAGATGAAGTGGCGTGACCACAAATTGAGAATTCTTATGAGGGATATATCTTTAAAGAGGAGCAGAAACATTTATACCTCTTTTAAGCTCATTTTCCTAAATTAAGAAGGTAGTACAATTTTGAAGAAATTCTGCATTTCATGTATCATCTTCTGTGAAAATGGGTGCTGCTTGGCTTTACTAACACAATATATATTGATGCGGTTTTCATCTTTCCAGGGTCTTTCCAGTTTTTCAGGGTGTGTCATTTCAGTCTTAAAAAGTAAGAAGTGAGTGTCTGACTACTGTATATTCCCCTGTTTCATGTATCTCATTTAACATAGCAATAGGATAGGAAAAAATGTCATATGGAGAAACTGTTGCACATCTTGGCTCATTTCTTGTCATCAGTTCTACTTAGGGTTTATCAAATTAGAAGAAAGTATAATCCAGTTATGTTACTGAGTACGAGGCAAGTTTCTTCCTGACTCTCATACATAATTAGTCTATTCCAAAGCACTTCATTTGATTTCTTTTTTATTACTGTCTTATCTATTCTATTGGCAATTTTATATGGTAAGAAGCACTGTTATCTGGGTTATTAAATCAAACTACTGTTCAGAATCTCTCCAGCAAGTGTCAGAGTAAATAGTAGAAAGTATATGTAAAAATAATTCATTTTTTGTTCTGAAACTCCAAAATGGGAAACTCAGGTTTTTTTCTCAGAGAAAAAAAAATTAAACTGTTGAGAGCAATGATTTGGAAAAAATCTTTTTAAAGATACAAGGTTTTAGAAATGTTGAATATGGTATTGGAAACCATCTTCTTTACAAGTCTTATTGTTACTTCTGCCTTTAATATTTGCAGTTTTTCTAGAGCAGTTAAAAATTCTACCATGCAAAGCTTTCCCTCACTGTAGCAACACAAACCTATTCATTTCATGACAGTCTACCAGCCAGTTCAAGAAGATCATATCCTCATCCCAGATGATTTCTCTCAGAGACTAAAAAAAACCACATCCACTACCCACAATGCTTGCAAATGCTTCCTAGTGAAAATGAAACCTGTTGGTATCATCACTTTCAAAAGAACTATGAGAGAGCAGCAATCCCAATTTGCGTATTTTTTCAATAAAGCTTTTAAAAAAGTAGAATAACAATAACTTGGGAATCTAGAAATCAGAGGAGAAACAGATGATTGGGAGCGGCCTTAATATCTTTCATTTTTTCAGATGATGACAGATCCCCTGGGAATAATCCTCTCTATAAAAGGATATATTACCTCCTTTTATTCTCTGAAGGGAGGAAAAGCGAAGATATCTCTTCAAAGGAAAAAGTGAAGCACTCCTTCAAGAATAGATCGTTGGGCATAACAATACAGCACATTAGTGCGTTAGTATGAAAAATGTTGGATTTTCCATCTTCTGTCTCAAGGTCTTTTAAAAAGAAAAGAAAGTCAAGATACCCTTTTGTCAGAGAATGAAAAGGATGAAAAAGCTCTACCTTTTCTTGACAGAACTCACTGTTGAAACTATATAGGATTATCTAGATTTTTCAAACTATTCTTCAGTCTGTATAATATTTATATTAAAATCCCCAAATCCAATTATTAGCTCTTGTAAAACTGAGTATTGTGTTGACAGCTGATTTTTACAGTAACATTTTTTAGCATAAGCTGTTTAAAAATAAAGCTATTGTAAGAGTGAATAGCCCATTGGCATAATAGTAGTAGTAGTAATAATAATAATAATTTTTAAGGGAAGTGAATCTATGTGGAGAGATCATAGAATCATAGTATCATTAAGATTGGAAAAGACCTCTAAGATCATCGAGTCCAACCGTCAACCCAACACCACCATGCCCACTAAACCATGTCCCTAAGTGCTGCATCTACACGTCTTTTAAATAC